ATCGGGAAACTTAAAAATCGAAATACATAGTACAGAATTTTCCCAAAAATCTGGATGTCTAGGGTGAAAACAATAAATTTGTACACCACAATTTACTATGTAAATTTTGGAGATAGCGTCATCCAACTGATGGTGGGGATGATTACAATTAGCTAAATTTTGGTTAGCGTTTTACCATCTACATTCAAAATTTGACAATAATCAGTCTGGTAGTTTCGAAGATTTTCTGTCTAAGAAAAATCCACACAGACAGACAGACAGACAGACAGACAGGGGACCATTTTTTCGCAATCTAGGAGTCCTTAGATCAGGCTCAGGAAGTAAAAACCAAAAACATCGTAAAATTGAAGGAACAAAAAAATTAAAAATAGAAAAATTGCAAATCGAGAAATTGAAGAGAAAAGTTCTAAATTCGTCAAATAGTAGAAGTGAAGAAAATTAGAAAAATTGAAAACTTCAGAAATTGAAAAATTTCATACCGAAAAGAAGAAAAACGATAAAATCAGAACACTGAAAACCAGAGAAATCGAAAAAATAAAGAAAATAAAAAACCGAAACGAAAAAGTGCAAATCGAAAAATTGAAAAAGTAAAAATCGAATAAATAAAACAGTTTGAAAAATCCAACAGCCGAAAAATTCTGAAAAATTGAAAAAGAGAGGAATTTTAAAAACTATTGTTACGTAAATGAAAACAGAAAAATTTCAAATAGAAAAATTTCAACTGAGAAGAAGTCAGAAATCAGAACACTGAAAAACCGAAAAAAAAAAGAAAATAATAAACCGAAACGAAAAATTACAAATCGAAAAATTGAAGAATTGAAAAATTAAAAAATGTGAAAACTTCAAGAGTTTTTCATTTCTTCAAATTTTCGGTTTGGAGTTTTTCTTTATATTTTTTATTTTCTTTATTATAATTTTTCGATTTTTCAGTGCATCTATTTTGTGATTTGTTTTCAATTTCAGTGTTTCAATTTTTCGATTTTTCAAAGTATTGATTCTATAATGTTTTGTTTTATCAATTTCAAATTTTTTCAATTTTTCGATTTACAATTTTTCAACTTTTCATTTTTTTGTTTCCTCGAGTTTTTATTTGTTTTTCTGTTTTCCAAACTTTGAATGTTTCAATTTTTAGTTTTTGCGGTATTTAAACTTTGCAATTTTTAGATTTGCAATCGCACGAGTTTTTCATTAACTTTTTATTTCTCAATTCTCCAATTTTTCGATTTGCCTCGTATTTTCATTATTTTTAAAATTTTTAATTTTTTCGTTAAATTTGTAGTAATAATTTTACAATATTTTGACTTTTTCAATTATACGATTTTAGAATTTTTCCATTTTTCAATTATTGAATTTTCAAACTTTTTCATCTCAGTTTTTAATTTTTTTATTTTTCAATTTTTCAATTTCAATTAATTTTTTGGAATTTAAATTTCTCAATTTTTAGTTTTCTCAACTTTCCGAATAAAAAACGGAAAAATTGCAAAATTGTATAGTTGAAAAATTAAAAACGACAAAAACTAAAAATCTAAAAATTAGAAATCAAGATCTTTTGAAAATTGAAAAATCGAAAGATCGGGAAACTTAAAAATCGAAATACATAGTACAGAATTTTTCCAAAAATCTGGATGTCTAGGGTGAAACAATTTACTATGTAAATTTTGGAGATAGCGTCATCCAACTGATGGTGGGGATGATTACAATTATCCAAATTTTGGTTAGCGTTTTACCATCTACATTCAAAATGTGACAATAATCAGTCTGGTAGTTTCGAAGATTTTCTGTCTAAGAAAAATCCACACAGACAGACAGACAGACAGACAGACAGGGGACCATTTTTTCGCAATCTAGGAGTCCTTAGATCAGGCTCAGGAAGTAAAAACCAAAAACATCGTAAAATTGAAGGAACAAAAAAATTAAAAATAGAAAAATTGCAAATCGAGAAATTGAAGAGAAAAGTTCTAAATTCGTCAAATGGTAGAAGTGAAGAATATTGGAAAAATTGAAAACTTCAGAAATTGAAAAATTTCATACCGAAAAGAACAAAAACGATAAAATCAGAATACTGAAAACCAGAGAAACCGAAAAAATAAAGAAAATAAAAAACCGAAACGAAAAAGTGCAAATCGAAAAATTGAAAAAGTAAAAATCGAATAAATAAAAAAGTTTGAAAAGTCCAACAGCCGAAAAATTCTGAAAAATTGAAAAAGAGAGGAAATTTAAAAACTATTGTTACATAAATGAACACCGAAAAATTTCAAATAGAAAAATTTTAATTGAGAAGAAGTCTGAAATCAGAACACTGAAAAACCGAAAAAAAAAAGAAAATAATAAACCGAAACGAAAAATAGCAAATCGAAACACTGAAGAATTGAAAAATTAAAAAAGTGAACAATTCAAGAGTTTTTCATTTCTTCAAATTTTCGGTTTGGAGTTTTTCTTTATATTTTTTATTTTCTTTATTATAATTTTTCGATTTTTCAGTGCATCTATTTTGTGATTTGTTTTCAATTTCAGTGTTTCAATTTTTCGATTTTTCAAAGTATTGATTCTATAATGTTTTGTTTTATCAATTTCAAATTTTTTCAATTTTTCGATTTACAATTTTTCAACTTTTCATTTTTTGTTTCCTCGAGTTTTTATTTGTTTTTCTGTTTTCCAAACATTGAATGTTTCAATTTTTAGTTTTTGCGCTATTTAAACTTTGCAATTTTTAGATTTCCAATCGCACGAGTTTTTCATTAACTTTTTATTTTTCAATTCTTCAATTTTTCGATTTGCCTTGTATTTTCATTATTTTTAAAATTTTTCATTTTTTCGTTAAATTTGTAATAATAATTTTACAATATTTTGACTTTTTCAATTATACGATTTTAGAATTTTTCCATTTTTCAATTAATGAATTTTCAAACTTTTTCATGTTTTTAATTTTTTTATTTTTCAATGTATTGATCTTTGATTGTTACAGTTTTACGACTTTCCAATTTTTCGATTCATTAATTTTTTGGAATTTAAATTTCTCAACTTTCCGAATAAAAAACGGAAAAATTGCAAAATTGTATAATTGAAAAATCAAAAATGACAAAAACTAAAAATCTAAAAATTAGAAATCAAGATCTTTTAAAAATTGAAAAATCGAAAGATCGGGAAACTTAAAAATCGAAATACATAGTACAGAATTTTTCCAAAAATCTGGATGTCTAGGGTGAAAACAATAAATTTGTACACCACAATTTACTATGTAAATTTTGGAGATAGCGTCATCCAACTGATGGTGGGGATGATTACAATTAGCCAAATTTTGGTTAGCGTTTTACCATCTACATTCAAAATTTGACAATAATCAGTCTGGTAGTTTCGAAGATTTTCTGTCTAAGAAAAATCCACACAGACAGACAGACAGACAGACAGACAGGGGACCATTTTTTCGCAATCTAGGAGTCCTTAGATCAGGCTCAGGAAGTAAAAACCAAAAACATCGTAAAATTGAAGGAACAAAAAAATTAAAAATAGAAAAATTGCAAATCGAGAAATTGAAGAGAAAAGTTCTAAATTCGTCAAATAGTAGAAGTGAAGAAAATTAGAAAAATTGAAAACTTCAGAAATTGAAAAATTTCATACCGAAAAGAATAAAAACGGTAAAATCAGAATACTGAAAACCAGAGAAATCGAAAAAATAAAGAAAATAAAAAACCGAAATGAAAAAGTGCAAACCGAAAAATTGAAAAAGTAAAAATCGAATAAATAAAAAAGTTTGAAAAATCCAACAGCTGAAAAATTCTGAAAAATTGAAAAAGAGAGGAATTTTAAAAACTATTGTTACATAAATGAAAACCGCAAAATTTCAAATAGAAAAATTTTAATTGAGAAGAAGTCTGAAATCAGAACACTGAAAAACCGAAAAATAAAGAAAATAATAAACCGAAACGAAAAATAGCAAATCGAAAAACTGAAGAATTGAAAAATTAAAAAAGTGAACACTTCAAGAGTTTTTCATTTCTTCAAATTTTCGGTTTGGAGTTTTTCTTTATATTTCTTATTTTCTTTATTATAATTTTTCGATTTTTCAGTGCATCTATTTTGTGATTTGTTTTCAATTTCAGTGTTTCAATTTTTCGATTTTTCAAAGTATTGATTCTATAATGTTTTGTTTTATCAATTTTAAATTTTTTCAATTTTTCGATTTACAATTTTTCAAATTTTCATTTTTTTGTTTCCTCGAGTTTTTATTTGTTCTTCTGTTTTCCAAATTTTGAATGTTTCAATTTTTAGTTTTTGCGGTATTTAAATTTTGCAATTTTTAGATTTGCAATCGCACGAGTTTTTCATTAACTTTTTATTTTTCAATTCTTCAATTTTTCGATTTGCCTTGTATTTTCGTTATTTTTTAAATTTTTTTGATTTTTCATTTTTTCGTTAAATTTGTAATAATAATTTTACAATATTTTGACTTTTTCAATTATACGATTTTAGAATTTTTCCATTTTTCAATTATTGAATTTTCAAACTGTTTCATCTCAGTTTTTAATTTTTTTATTTTTCAATGCATTGATCTTTGATTGTTACAGTTTTACGACTTTCCAATTTTTCGATTCATTAATTTTTTGGAATTTAAATTTCTCAATTTTTAGTTTTCTCAACTTTCCGAATAAAAAAAAACGGAAAAATTGCAAAATTGTATAGTTGAAAAATCAAAAATGACAAAAACTAAATATCTAAAAATCAGAAATCAAGATCTTTTAAAAAATTGAAAAATCGAAAGATCGGGAAACTTAAAAATCGAAATACATAGTACAGAATTTTTCCAAAAATCTGGATGTCTAGGGTGAAAACAATAAATTCGTACACCACAATTTACTATGTAAATTTCCAACTGATGGTACATACAAAATTTGACAATTATCAGTCTAGTAGTTTCGCAGATTTTCTGTCTAAGAAAAATCCACACAGACAGACAGACAGACATTTAGTCCTTAGATCAGGCTCAGGAAGTAAAAACCAAAAACATCAAAATTATTTTATTAATCAGGAAGAAAGTTGTAACATAATTGAGTGGAAAGATTCATCCAAACACCATTGGTTTTAGTTTAAACAAAACCTTGGCGCTCTATACAAAAAAAAAATATGAATACGGCAAAAAACTGTACAAATTAATAATAACACGAAAACCACTCAGTGAACACAACATTTTCACTTTAATTAAATCATCAATACAATACACTATAATAAATGAATATTATTGTACAAAACTTATAACACTAATAAAAAAATCCCTCTCCACCCACAAAAATCACTTAACATACTTCTCCATAAACTTCTTATGAAAGTCTGACCTCAAAGAATCGTTAATAAACACGTTCACCTTCTTCTCAGGCTCCGACCTAGCGCAGTTCTTAAAAACCACATCGTCGTCCCACCGCCTCTTCACCTTATGGTCTGTCTTCGCACTCCCCGCCGAATAATGCGTCAGCAGCGGATTCCCGCTCAGAATATTCTCCATCCTGATCCTCTCCTCCTCCTGCCTCCTCTCGATCTCCTTCTTCGCTTGCTCCATCGCCCTCTCCTTCTTGATCTTACTCAGCTCGGCCAACAGCGACTCCATGTCGTCCTCGCTGTCGCTGCTGTCCGAATCCTCCTCGTCCAACGGGTCGTCGGCGTCCAAACTGGCAGTGGGCACTTGGTCCAATTTCAGCCTCTTGTGATCCGACGGACGCGCGCTTCGGGAGCCTTTGGCCGCGCGCTCGCGGTCCTCGAGCTCTTTGCGGAAGTCGCGCGAGCGGACCTCTTCGACTGTGCCTTGGCCGTGCTCTCTGGAAAGTTATGTTAGAGAAGGAAGGTGAGAGTGAGGTTATGTTTACCTGTATTTGAGTTTAGTGTGTCCGGGGAGGTCTCGGCTGGAGTATTGGCGCGATATGGCGCTGAGGTCTTTTTCGTTACGGCCCTGGCCGCCGCGGGCCGGCTCGAACGTGGGGCGGGCCGCTGTGGTCATGGTGTTTCACACGAAATTAATAATTTCTGGAAGAATTTCTTGTTCTTGACAGATGGGCTATTGACGTTTGTTGACGCTTGAGCAGGAGCGTCAATCTTCGAATACGGGGTAAAACGGAAAATCCCTAGTATTTTTTGTGTAATTACAGGCTTTTACTGGATACACCACCTTAGTTCGACTGTGATTTTACTTGAAAACATACATATCTATCTGTTGATTCAATAAAAATTCGGTTGTGTAATTTTTTTGTAGTTTTTGAATATTTTCAGAGAGCTGATGGATACAGTTCCATAGATGGCGCCTCACAAGTTCAATCGACATTTGGAGAAGTATTGAAAACATGTCAATATTTTTCAATAGTCGATTCTGGAAAAACTGTTGGAGTTATCGAAGAAACGATGCCGGAAGTGAGTTCTAGAGCTCGAAATCTACCAGAAAATGTATTTAGTTAAGTTTCGGTTAAGTTTCGAAAATGTCAAAATTTGGCCGAAATTTGAAGAAGGAAAAATTGGAAAAATTTCACTTTTAAAAAAGTTGTCTAAAAATTCTGAAAAAATTCAGGGACGTAGACCTCGACACGCTGATTACAAAAATATAGGGTGTCGATTGTCACGGAGCAACATTTTCGAAAGAATCGATACGAAATGCGAATTTTTGAGAATTTCTAAAAATTTCGATATTTCAACGGACGATTCCGGAAAAACGGTTACAGTTATCAAAGAATCGAGGCCAGAAGTGAGTTCTAGAGCTCGAATCTACCAGAAAATGTGTTTAGTTAAGTTTCGAAAATGTCAAAATTTGGCGAAATTTGAAGAAGGGGGGACCACTGGAAAAATTTCTCTTTTAAAAAAGTTGTCAAAAAAAATCTGAAAAAAATCAGGGACGTGGATCTCGACACGCTGATTCTAAAAATATAGGGTGTCGATGGTCACGGAGCAACATTTTCGAAAGAATCGGTATGAAATGCGAATTTTTGAGAATTTCTAAAAATTTCGATATTTCAACGGTCGATTCCGGAAAAACGGTTGCAGTTTCAAAGAAACGAGGCCGGAAGTGAGTTCTAGAGCTCGAAATCTACCAGAAAATGTATTTAGTAAAGTTTCGAAAATGTCAAAATTTGGCCGAAATTTGAAGGTGTGGAAAAATTTCACTTTTTAAAAAAGTTGTCTAAAAATTCTGAAAAAATTCAGGAACGTAGGTCTCGACACGCTGAATACAAAAATATAGGGTGTCGATGTTCACGGAGTAACATTTTCGAAAGAATCGATACGAAATGCGAATTTTTGAGAATTTCTAAAAATTTCGATATTTCAACGGTCGATTCCGGAAAAACGGTTGCAGTTATCAAAGAATCGAGGCCAGAAGTGAGTTCTAAAGCTCGAAATCTACCAGAAAATGTGTTTAGTTAAGTTTCGAAAATCTCAAAAATTGGCCGAAATATGAAGAAGTGTTTCATAAGATAAGACTGATTTTCTCATTTTTGACATTTTCGACCATTTTTCAAATACATATATCCGAAAATTAGCTGAAGACATTTTCTTGTAGATTTCGAGAATCAGAAGTCATTTTCCCCTTCGTTTCTTCGGAAATTTCTAATCGAAAAAAAGCAATTTTTAGAGTTTTGTCAAAATAGCTCTCTATAAAAATTTTGTAAATAAAAAAAGAAACTATTATTAATTTTTGTTCCATTGTTCCATTATTAGTTTCCACTCCCACTCGATAAAAAAAAACATAAATAGCCCCGCCCACCCACCCTGTCTCTTTTTCAGTGACAAATTGAATGAACTAAATCATCTTATACTGAACAGAAACAAAATTCCATTGGAAAAATTTCACTTTTAAAAAAGTCGTCAAAACATTCTGAAAAAATTCAGGGACTTAGATCTCGACACGCTGATTCCAAAAATATAGGGTGTCGATGTCACGGAGCAACATTTTCGAAAGAATCGGTACGAAAAAATGCGAAATTTTGAGAATTTCTAAAAATTTCGATATTTCTACGGTCGATTCCGGAAAAACGGTTACAGTCATCAAAGAAGCGAGGCCGGAAGTGAGTTCTAGAGCTCGAAATCTACCAGAAAATGTATTTAGTTAAGTTTCGAAAACGTCAAAAATTGGCCGAAATTTGAATTGGAAAAATTTCAGTTTTAAAAAAGTCGTCTAAAAATTCTGAAAAAATTCAGGGACTTAGATCTCGACACGCTGATTACAAAAATATAGGGTGTGGATGGTCAGGGAGCAACATTTTAGAAAGAATCAATACGAAATGCGAATTTTTGAGAATTTCTAAAAATTTCGATATTTCAACGGACGATTCCGGAAAAACGGTTGCAGTTATCAAAGAATTGAGGTCGGAAGTGAGTTCTTGAGCCCGACATCTACCACAAAATGTATTTAATTAAGTTTCGAAAATGTCAAAATTTGAAGAAGGGGAAAAATTTCAGTTTTAAAAGTCGTCTAAAAATTCTGAAAAAATTCAGGGACGTAGATCTCGACACGCTGATTACAAAAATATAGGGTGTGGATGGTCAGGGAGCAACATTTTAGAAAGAATCGATACGAAATGCGAATTTTTGAGAATTTCTAAAAATTTCGATATTTCAACGGACGATTCCGGAAAAACGGTTACAGTTATCAAACAATCGAGGCTGGAAGTGAGTTCTAGAGCTCGAGATCTACCAGAAAATGTATTCAGTTAAGTTTCGAAAATGTCAAAATTTGGCCGAAATTTGAAGAAGGGGGGACCATTGGAAAAATTTCAGTTTTAAAAAAGTCGTCTAAAAATTCTGAAAAAAATCAGGGACGTAGATCTCGACACGCTTATTACAAAAATATAGCATGTTGATGGTCATGGAGCAAAATTTTCGAAAGAGTCGGTACGAAATGCGAATTTTTGAGAAATTCTAAAAAATTCGATATTTTAACGGTCGATTCCGGAAAAACGGTTGCAATTTCAAAGAAACGAGGCCGGAATTGAGTTCTAGAGCTCGAAATCTACCAGAAAATGTGTTCAGTTAAGTTTCGAAAATGTCAAAATTTGGCCGAAATTTGAAGAAGGGGGGACCATTGGAAAAATTTCACTTTTAAAAGTTGTCTAAAAATTCTGAAAAAATTCAGGGACGTAGATCTCAACATGCTGATTACAAAAATATAGTGTGTGGATGGTCAGGGAGCAACATTTTAGAAAGAATCGATACGAAATGCGAATTTTTGAGAATTTCTAAAAATTTCGATATTTCAACGGACGATTTCGGAAAAACGGTTGCAGTTATCAAAGAATCGAGGCCGGAAGTGAGTTCTAGAGCTCGAAATCTACCAGAAAATGTATTCAGTTAAGTTTCGGAAATGTCAAAATTTGGCCGAAATTTGAAGAAGGGGGAACCATTGGAAAAATTTCAGTTTTAAAAAAGTCGTCTAAAAATTCTGAAAAAATTCAGGGACGTAGATCTCGACACGCTGATTACAAAAATATAGGGTGTGGATGGTCAGGGAGCAACATTTTAGAAAGAATCGATACGAAATGCGAATTTTTGAGAATTTCTAAAAATTTCGATATTTCAACGGACGATTCCGGAAAAACGGTTACAGTTATCAAACAATCGAGGCTGGAAGTGAGTTCTAGAGCTCGAGATCTACCAGAAAATGTATTCAGTTAAGTTTCGAAAATGTCAAAATTTGGCCGAAATTTGAAGAAGGGGGGACCATTGGAAAAATTTCAGTTTTAAAAAAGTCGTCTAAAAATTCTGAAAAAAATCAGGGACGTAGATCTCGACACGCTTATTACAAAAATATAGCATGTTGATGGTCATGGAGCAAAATTTTCGAAAGAGTCGGTACGAAATGCGAATTTTTGAGAAATTCTAAAAAATTCGATATTTTAACGGTCGATTCCGGAAAAACGGTTGCAATTTCAAAGAAACGAGGCCGGAATTGAGTTCTAGAGCTCGAAATCTACCAGAAAATGTGTTCAGTTAAGTTTCGAAAATGTCAAAATTTGGCCGAAATTTGAAGAAGGGGGGACCATTGGAAAAATTTCACTTTTAAAAGTTGTCTAAAAATTCTGAAAAAATTCAGGGACGTAGATCTCAACATGCTGATTACAAAAATATAGGGTGTGGATGGTCAGGGAGCAACATTTTAGAAAGAATCGATACGAAATGCGAATTTTTGAGAATTTCTAAAAATTTCGATATTTCAACGGACGATTTCGGAAAAACGGTTGCAGTTATCAAAGAATCGAGGCCGGAAGTGAGTTCTAGAGCTCGAAATCTACCAGAAAATGTATTCAGTTAAGTTTCGGAAATGTCAAAATTTGGCCGAAATTTGAAGAAGGGGGAACCATTGGAAAAATTTCAGTTTTAAAAAAGTCGTCTAAAAATTCTGAAAAAATTCAGGGACGTAGATCTCGACACGCTGATTACAAAAATATAGGGTGTGGATGGTCAGGGAGCAACATTTTAGAAAGAATCGATACGAAATGCGAATTTTTGAGAATTTCTAAAAATTTCGATATTTCAACGGACGATTCCGGAAAAACGGTTACAGTTATCAAAGAATCGAGGCCGGAAGTGAGTTCTAGAGCTCGAGATCTACCAGAAAATGTATTCAGTTAAGTTTCGAAAATGTCAAAATTTGGCCGAAATTTGAAGAAGGGGGGACCATTGGAAAAATTTCAGTTTTAAAAAAGTCGTCTAAAAATTCTGAAAAAAATCAGGGACGTAGATCTCGACACGCTTATTACAAAAATATAGCATGTTGATGGTCATGGAGCAAAATTTTCGAAAGAGTCGGTACGAAATGCGAATTTTTGAGAAATTCTAAAAAATTCGATATTTTAACGGTCGATTCCGGAAAAACGGTTGCAATTTCAAAGAAACGAGGCCGGAATTGAGTTCTAGAGCTCGAAATCTACCAGAAAATGTGTTCAGTTAAGTTTCGAAAATGTCAAAATTTGGCCGAAATTTGAAGAAGGGGGGACCATTGGAAAAATTTCACTTTTAAAAGTTGTCTAAAAATTCTGAAAAAATTCAGGGACGTAGATCTCAACATGCTGATTACAAAAATATAGGGTGTGGATGGTCAGGGAGCAACATTTTAGAAAGAATCGATACGAAATGCGAATTTTTGAGAATTTCTAAAAATTTCGATATTTCAACGGACGATTCCGGAAAAACGGTTACAGTTATCAAAGAATCGAGGCCGGAAGTGAGTTCTAGAGCTCGAAATCTACCAGAAAATGTATTCAGTGAAGTTTCGAAAATGTCAAAATTTGGCCGAAATTTGAAGAAGGGGGGACCATTGGAAAAATTTCAGTTTTAAAAAAGTCGTCTAAAAATTCTGAAAAAATTCAGGGACGTAGATCTCGACACGCTGATTACAAAAATATAGGGTGTGGATGGTCAGGGAGCAACATTTTCGAAAGAATCGATACGAAATGCGAATTTTTGAGAATTTCTAAAAATTTCGATATTTCAACGGACGATTCCGGAAAAACGGTTGCAGTTATCAGAGAATCGAGGCCGGAAGTGAGTTCTAGAGCTCGAAATCTACTAGAAAATGTATTCAGTTAAGTTTTGAAAATGTCAAAAATTGGCCGAAATTTGAATTGGAAAAAATTCAGTTTTAAAAAAGTCGTCTAAAAATTCTGAAAAAATTCAGTAGATCTCGACACGCTGATTACAAAAATATAGGGTGTTGATGGTCACGGAGCAACATTTTCGAAAGAATCTATACGAAATCCGAATTTTTGAGAATTTCTAAAAATTTTGATATTTCAACGGACGATTCCGGAAAAACGGTTACAGTTATCAAAGAATCGAGGCTGGAAGTGAGTTCTAGAGCTCGAAATCTACCAGAAAATGTATTCAGTTAAGTTTCGAAAATGTCAAAATTTGGCCGAAATTTGAAGAAGGGGGGACCATTGGAAAAATTTCACTTTTAAAAAAGTCGTCTAAAAATTCTGAAAAAAATCAGGGACGTAGATCTCGACACGCTTATTACAAAAATATAGCATGTTGATGGTCATGGAGCAACATTTTCGAAAGAATCGATACGAAATGCGAATTTTTGAGAATTTCTAAAAATTTCGATATTTCAACGGATGATTCCGGAGAAACGGTTGCAGTTATCAAAGAATCGAGGCCGGAAGTGAGTTCTAGAGCTCGAAATCTACTAGAAAATGTATTCAGTTAAGTTTCGAAAATGTCAAAAATTGGCCGAAATTTGAATTGGAAAAATTTCAGTTTTAAAAAAGTCGTCTAAAAATTGTGAAAAAATTCAGTAGATCTCGACACGCTGATTACAAAAATATAGGGTGTTGATGGTCACGGAGCAACATTTTCGAAAGAATCGATACGAAATGCGAATTTCTGAGAATTTCTAAAAATTTCGATATTTCAACGGACGATTTCGGAAAAACGGTTGCAGCTATCAAAGAATCGAGGCCGGAAGTGAGTTCTAGAGCTCAAAATCTACAAGAAAATTTACTCAGTTAGGTTTTGAAAATGTCAAAATTTCGGCGAAATTTGAAGAAGGGGGAATCATTGGAAAATTTTCACTTTTAAAAAAGTCGTTTAAAAATTCTGAAAAAATTCAGGGACGTAGATCTCGACACGCTGATTCCAAAAATATAGCACGTCGATGGTCACGGAGCAACATTTTCGAAAGAATCGGTACGAAATGCGAATTTTTCAGAATTTCTAAAAATTTCGATATTTCTACGGTCGATTCCGGAAAAACGGTTACAGTTATCAAAGAATCGAGGCCAGAAGTGAGTTCTAGAGCTCGAAATCTTCCAGAAAATGTATTTAGTAAAGTTTTGAAAATGTCAAAATTCGGCCGAAATTTGAAGGGGGGGACCATTGGAAAAATTACTTTTAAAAAAGTTGTCTAAAAATTCTGAAAAAATTCAGGTACGTAGATCTCGACACGCTGATTCCAAAAATATAGCATGTTGATGGTCACGGAGCAACATTTTCGAAAGAAACGATACGAAATGCGAATTTTTGAGAATTTCTTAAAATTTCGATATTTCAACGGGTGATCCCGGAAAAACGGTTGCAGTTATCAAAGAATCGAGGCCGGAAGTGAGTTCTAGAGCTCGAAATCTACCAGAAAATGGGTTTAGTTAAGTTTCGAAAATGTCAAAAATTGGCCGAAATTTGAAGCAGGGGGGACCATTGGAAAAATTTCAGTTTTAAAAAAGTCGTCTAAAAATTCTGAAAAAATTCATGAACGTAGATCTCGACACGCTGATTACAAAAATATAGGGTGTCGATGGTCACGGAGCAAGATTTTCGAAAGAATCGATACGAAATGCGAATTTTTGAGAATTTCTAAAAATTTCGATATTTCTACGGTCGATTCCGGAAAAACGGTTACAGTTATCAAAGATTCGAGGCCAGAAGTGAGTTCTAGAGCCCGAAATCTACCAGAAAATGTGTTTAGTTAAGTTTCGAAAATGTCAAAATTAAAACTTTTAAAAAAGTTGTCTAAAACTAGATTCAATTTCATTCGATAGTAGGTAAATAGGAAATAAAACTCGTCGTAACTAATCAATTATGTATTGCAATAATAATCATCTAATACAACAATAATTTTAAGAATTAGACTATGAGAGTAAAATCATAAAAAAATATAAATCGTGTCTCGAATATGGAAATAAAATTAGCGTTGCCACAATGAGGTACAATAACTGAAATGATACGCTAAAACGCAAGCTTGTCGGCAGGTTTGCACCCAATAAATAAATTTCTTAAATTCCACATATTTTGTAAAGCGCGGCGCCCTCGACCCGGGCCACCGCTCCAAATGCATTTTTGGCAATTGACTGGAATACAACGTTTGTCATTCTCATAACTAGCTCTGACTAAGTCGGGATAATTCTCACATCTTGTTAATTTCACAGCCCACACACAAAAGAACACTAAGAGACATCGAAAACTTGAAAAGAACAACGAGATTTTAGAGTTAGATTCAACTATGACATTTCCTAACGAGAAAATTGAGGACTCTGGGGCAAAATTGAGCTTGTCAGTCTTTCGAACTTTTATAAAAGTATAAAACACGTATAAAGACTAATCTGCTCCTAAATTTTCATCTCTTTAGAAAAATCAATCAAATTTTGTGTACTATGCTCGGACTCGGAGTGCGCCAGACGTGACACAAGTCGATATTAATGACACAACAACATTCATTACGAATTAGTTAATCTGTGTAAATTCATAAATTACATAGAAAAACAGAACAGAAGAAATATATTCACAGTCGTCCCGTCTCAGGACTCGAACAACGCAACTTCATGCCGTACTCGAATTCTGCGAAGCCCCGCTTATCGCACTGAACAACGCCATGCTGTTCCTCTTGAAACTTCCGGTTTCGTCGTGGGGCCACAAAGATTCGCCGAACAGACTCGACAACGACGTACACAACTTTTTGTAGTTCTGGCGCAGGACCTCCTGGTACTCCAGCTGGTCCTGGGATATCAATTTCCCGTTGACCTGGAGCGCCGAGTAGCAGATCTTCAAAAACTCCCTACAAACCCCAAAAATAAAAACCAACCGACGAAATCAAAAAAATACTCACCGAAAAATATCCTTCAACTCCTCCACCTTATCCTCGGGATACATATTGCACAGGGCCGGATCCAGGAACACCGACGCGTACGCCAAAGGCCCGGCGTTCACCTGGACGCAGACGCTCCCCTGCAACAACAACTGCAGCTTCTTGGCGTCGGTGGGCTCCATGAAGACGACGTCCTCGAGCTCCTGGACCCGCACGTGCATCTCGTGGATGGCCACCTCGATGGGGCTGAGCTCGGTGGTGCGTCTCGACTGGACTTTTATGCGCTTCTTGACGTAGGGGAAAGAGTACTCGGCTGAAATTACAGTCAATAGAGTTGAGTCGTTTTGAAGAAGTAATGATTGGTACTTTTGAGGATGGTCCGCCGCTTCCACTGCTCCTCGGGGTTTCCCCGGGCCTTGCCGTCCTTGGTGAAGGGCGTCTCGAACATGAAGGTGTCGATGTCGTGGTTCTGCTCGAAGTCGGTTTGGCGGTCCTCGAGCTCGGTCTTCTCGAGGTACGGGGTCACGTGGGTCACTTGGATGTAGGCTAGTTTGGGGTCGAGCTCGCTCTGGGTCACCTGGAGGGGTAAAAAAAAAGGTCGAAGGTTATTTATAATTTTCTTGTTTTCATTTTAACTATGTAATGATAATTTTTAAAATATTTCTCTTTTTCAATTATGTTAAAACCTTTTCATATGTTCGACTTTCATTTTTCCGATTTTCAATTTTGCAATTTTTAGATTCTTCAATTTTTCATTTCTTAAAATTTTCGATCGGCAATTTTCCGTTTCGGTTTTTTATTTTTTGTAGTTTTCATTTTTAATTTTTTCAATTTTAGATTTTTCAGCTTTGCAACTTTTGAGTTTTTCAATTTTTAATTTTTCAATTTTAACGTCTTCAGTTTTCTCCGTTTCTTCAATTTTTCATTTTTTTATTTGGATTTTGCAATTTTTCGATTTAAAAATTCTCTATTTTTTCATTTTTTGGCCATTTAGTTTTTCATTTATTCAATTTTTTAGTATTCAATTTTCGATTTTTCAACTTTCAAATTTTTTTATTTTTCATTTCTTCAATTTTATGAATTTTCAATTTTCCAATTTTCGAATTTTTCTATTTTTAGATTTTAATTTTTCAATTTGCAATTTCTCGAGTTTTTAGTTCTTAATTTTATAATTTTTGGACTTTTCAACTTTCAAATTTTAAATTTTTTCAAATTTAGATGTTTCAATTTTATGATTTTTCAAATTTTCAACTTTTGAATTTTTCAATTTTTAGATTTTGTAATTCTTCGATTTCTTTGTAGTGCTTTCAGTTTTTAATTTTTCAATTATTCGATTTTTTATTGTTTCAATTGTAAAATTTTGTTTTTTTTAATTTTGATGTTTTCAGTTTTCCGTTCCTATAATTTTTCTTTTTTTTTCTATATTTGGATTTTACAATTTTTCAATTTAAAAATTGTCGATTTTTAATTTTTTGATCCTTTCGTTTTCCATTTCTTCAATTCTTGATTTGCAATTTTTCTTCTTTTCATTTTAAAAATGTAAAAATAATCATTGCTATTAAAATATTTCACTTTTGGAATTTTACGATTTTAGACGTTTTCCGTTTTTTTTTTAATAACTAGATTTTAAAATTTTTCCATTTACCCCATTTTTTGATTTTTCAAGTTTCCGATTTGCATATCTTCAAATTTTAATTTTTTTTTGTTTCTTCAATTTTACGATTTGCACTCTTTGAATTTTCAATTTAAAATTTTCCAGCTTTCAATTTTCCAACTTTTGGATGTTTCAATTTTTAGATTTTGTAATTTTTGGATTTGCAATTTCACGAGTTTTCAATGCTATGATTTTATAATTTTTCGATTTGCAATTTTTCCATATTTCAACTTTTAGATTTTCCATTTTTCTTCTTTTCATTTTAAATATGTAACATTAATTAATTATTTTAATAATAAAATATTTAACATTTTCAATTTTACGATTTTGGAGTTTTTTCGTTTTTCAATTAATATTGGATTTTAAAATTTTTTCATTTATTCGATTTTTCAAAATTCCAAATTTTGTAAATTAAGGTTTTTCCGATATCACTTTTTAAAATTTTCCTCTTCTTCAAATTTTCGATTTGCAATTTTTCGTTCAGTTTTTTATTTTCCTTATTTTTTCAATTTTTCGATTTTTCTGATTTTATTACAATTTTTCTCTTTTTCAATATGCAATTTTCCAATTTTAGATTTTTTAATTTTTTGTTTTCTCAATTTTACACTTTTTAGCTTCTCGATTTTTCAGTTTTGCTATTAAAATTTTTCATTTTAAGATTTAAAAATTTTTCCGGTTATAGGATTTTTTACTTATCGATTTTTAATTTTTCATTTTCTCCATATTAATTTTTCAGTTGTTCGAATTTTCAATGATACAATTTTGACGACTTTGGGTTTTTCGATTTTTAGCTTTTAAGTGTTTCAATCTTATCTTTCTTGAGCTCTTCGATTTGCAATTATACGATTTCCTCTTTTTCAACTTTGCAATTCTTTATTTTTTGGGTTTTTCAACTTTTCGAATTAAAAAGTGGAAAAATTGTAAAATTCAAAAAGCAAAAATGAAAAAAAAACGAAAAACTATAAAATGAACACTAAAAAATCTGAAAATTGGAAATAAAGAACTTGAAAATTTGAAGAAACGAAAAATTAAAAATTGGGAAACTAAAAATTCGAAAAATGCAAAATCGAAACGACATATTGTGAAATCCAAAAATTGAAAAACCAAAAAATTTAAAAACTGGAAAATCGAAAGATTAAAAACTAAGAAACTGAAAAATCGAAAGATCAAAAAATAAGAAACTGAAATCGAAAAATTCAAGAAACGGAAAACTGAAAAATTTGGAAGCTGAGAATTAAACAATTGAAAAATGAAAAAATTGAAAAAAATTAAGGTTGGAAACACAAAAATTATAAATCCGAAACACTGAAACATCGAAAAAGTTAAACAACTAAGAAAATGAAAACACGAAAAATTGTGATATCAAAAAATTGTAAAATCGAAAAATTGAAAAATTATAAAGTAAGAACTTGAGACATTGAAGAAACGAAAACGAAAAATTATGAAAATGTAAACACGAAAAATTGTAATATCGAAAATTTGCAAAATTCGGCAAAATTTTGAAATGACGTCATCAATTTTTTTTTTTGGGAGGGCGATAAAGAACAGATTTTGCTTAAGGTTTACCACGATTACGATGTTCGGATTTTATAATTTTTCTCTTTCAATGTGAAATTTTACAATTTTTGGACTTTTCAACTTTGAAATATTTTAATTTTTAATTTTTTCAATTTTTAGATTTTGTAATTTTTCGATTTCTTTGAAGTGTATTCAATTTTTAATTTTTCAAAAATTCGATTTTTTATTGTTTCAATTGTAAAATTTTATGTCTTTCAAATTTAATGTTTTCAGTTTTCCGTTCCATGAATTTTACATTTTTTTTAAACATTTGGTTTTTGCAATATTTCAATTTTTTCATTTTTTGACCGTTTAGTTTTTCATTTCTTCAATTTTTTGGTTTTCAATTTTCGATTTTTCAACTTTCAAATTTTTTAATTTTTCATTTCTTCAATTTTATGAATTTTCAATTTTCCAATTCTCGAATTTTTCTATTTTTAGATTTTAATTTTTCAATTTGCAATTTTTCGAGTTTTTAGTTCTTAATTTTATAATTTTTGGGTTTTTCAATGTTCGGATTTTATCATTTTTCTCTTTTTCAACGTGAAATTTTACAATTTTTGGACTTTTCAACTTTCAAATTTTAAATTTTTTCAAATTTAGATGTTTCAGTTTCATGATTGTTCAAATTTTCAACTTTTGAATTTTTCAATTTTTAGATTTTGTAATTCTAAGATTTCTTTGCAGTGTTTTCAGTTTTTAATTTTTCAATTATTCGATTTTTTATTGTTTCAATTGTAAAATTTTGTTTTTTTCAATTTTGATGTTTTCAGTTTTCCGTTCCTATAATTTTTCATTTTTTTTCTATATTTGAATTTTTTAGTTTTCCATTTCTTCAATTTTTCGGTTTTCAATTTTCGATTTTTCAACTTTCGGATTTTTTAATTTTTAGTTTCTTCAATTCTTGATTTGCAATTTTTCTTCTTTTCATTTTAAATATGTAAAAATAATCATTGTTATTAAAATATTTCACTTTTGAAATTTTACGATTTTAGACTTTTTCCGTTTTTTTTTAATAACTAGATTTTAAAATTTTTCCATTTACTCCATTTTTTTATTTTTCATTTTTCAAGTTTCCGATTTGCATATCTTCAAATTTTATTTTTTTTTTGTTTCTTCAATTTTACGATTTGCACTCTTTGAGTTTTCATTTTAAAATTTTCCAGCTTTCAATTTTCCAACTTTTGGATGTTTCAATTTTTAGATTTTGTAATTTTTGGATTTGCAATTTCACGAATTTTCAATGCTATGATTCTATAATTTTTCGATTTGCAATTTTTCGGTTTTCCATTTTTCGATATTTCAACTTTTAGATTTTCCATTTTTCTTCTTTTCATTTTAAATATGTAACATTAATTATTATTATTAAAATATTTAACATTTTCAATTTTACGATTTTGGAGTTTTTTCGTTTTTCAATTAATATTGGATTTTAAAATTTTTTCATTTATTCGATTTTTGAAAATTCCAAATTTTGTAAATTATGGTTTTTTCGATATCACTTTTTAAAATTTTCCTCTTCTTCAAATTTTCGATTTGCAATTTTTCGTTCAGTTTTTTATTTTCCTTATTTTTTCAATTTTTCGATTTTTCTGATTTTATTACAATTTTTCTCTTTTTCAATATGCAATTTTCCAATTTTAGATTTTTTAATTTTTTGTTTTCTCAATTTTACATTTTTTAGCTTCTCGATTTTTCACTTTTGCTATTAAAATTTTTCACTTCAAGATTTAAAAATTTTTCCGGTTATAGGATTTTTTTTACTTATCGATTTTTAATTTTTCAATTTCTCCATATTAATGTTTCAGTTGTTCGAATTTTCAATTATACAATTTTGACGACTTTGGGTTTTCCAATTTTTCGATTTGATTCGTTTTTTCTTCTTTGTAATTTTTCGATTTATTGTTTTTTTTTTTCAATTTTTAAGTTTCTCGATTTTTAGCTTTTCAGTGTTTCAATCTTATCTTTCTTGAGCTCTTCGATTTGCAATTATACGATTTCCTCTTTTTCAACTTCCAAATTGTTTATTTTTTCGGTTTTTCAACTTTTCGAATTAAAAAAGTGGAAAAATTGTAAAATTCAAAAAACAAAAATGAAAAAAAAAAAGAAAAACTATAAAATGAACACTGAAAAATCTGAAAATTGGAAATAAAGAACTTGAAAATTTGAAGAAACGAGAAATTAAAAATTGGGAAACTAAAAATTCGAAAAATGCAAAATCGAAACGATATATTGTGAAATCCAAAAATTGAAAAACCTAAAAATTTAAAAACTGGAAAATCGAAAGATTAAAAACTAAGAAACTGAAAAATCGAAAGATCAAGAAATAAGAAATTGAAATCGAAAAATTCAAGAAACGGAAAACT